CTGCATTCATGTTGTCACCCACAGGCAGTTTTACTTATATCAACTTTGCAGAGAATGTGAAAATGTCAACACTGTAAAAACAGCACAATGTCCTAGTCTAGCTATAACCATAGTTTTGGGGTTCTGGGCCTCCTGAACGAACTGAAAGGCTAGACTTTGAGAGCTGCCGCTTAATGTTAGCAAGCATATTAGGAGTCTGTTGTCCTAAGTATGTTTTTACTTTTTTGTCTTGTCTGCTACTGAGCTAACAGTTGGTCAGATGGCCAGAGCTGATGTCTCTCTCTGTACTATTCTTTACATAGTACATAGAAGAAGAAGAGGGCAGAAGCTGTTAGTCTACACAGTTCCTTTAAGCTCTTGTAGCCTTTGGTTTGGTTTGGTTAACTGTTCCTACTCAACATTTTCTCTTGATGGATTTTTAGTAAGTGCAAGTATATTTACTAGTTCATCTTTTTCAAGCTGTGTAGTTAGCCATCTGTTCAGGACTTGGTAGGGTATTTGCTGACTCTTCCAGGTTTGTGAATGCTGAAGGCTTGGCAGATTGAGCCTGGCGGGAGCTCAGGTATGGGTAGGTTTCTAACAGAATTACTAACAGGTAATAATAGTAGACAGGGCCTTTAACATAGACAAGACCGTCCCAGGTCATGTTCCTTAGGGTTGTGTAGTTCTTCAGTTATTGTTACTCTGCCAGACAACAGAACCACATATGTTCTATCTGTACGTGTGCTGTTAGGTTGTGACTGTTGATGTTGATACGATTCAGCATCTCTACACCCATCCCCATTGTCTCCCAGTTTATGATCTTTGAAGTTCCTCCCTGCTTGTTTGGGTATAACATTCTCCTAGTGTTAATTCTTTGTTCATCACAATTGTGGGATCATTTCTTAAACATGCACGCTCAATCACATTGCACGTTTCATTTATCCCACAGTCCTGGAGCTGCTCTCACTCTCTGGGAGACAGTCCCCATGCAGCAAAAGGAGAAAACCATCTTGTCTGCAATCAGAGGGAAAAAAAGTCCTAAATCTGTTATGTCTGTTATCTGTTTGTCCTTGCTGAATTCTTAGTATTTCATCTTTGAAAAGCAGACTAATGGAATGTAAAGGAATCCAAAGAAATTACTAGTCAAAAAGACTGAGGTTATGCTGGGCCCAGTGGCACAATCTTGTAATCCCAGCTATTTAAGTAAACTGAGGCAGGAGGCTCACAACTTCAAGGCTAGTCAGTTTGGGTAACTTAGCAAAACTTTGTGTCAGAAGAAAAGCCTAACAGGCTGGGGTTAGCTCAGTGGTAAATTGCATCCTTGTCATGTGCAAGGCTCTAGGCTTGTTCCCCAATGCACCCTCCCCCCCAAAAAAAGTAAGACTGAAGTTTTATAGATGAGAGGAGAATGAAACAAGTTTGAAGCCATTCTCTACCCATCCCTTCTCTTGCCTTTTGGACATGTCCTTCCTGTGCTGGAAGCTCTGCCTTTACAATATTGCTACTGAGGTTGTTTGTGCACAAGTTTAAAGTTTTCATTAAAACTTAAGACCTATGCCCAGCGGTGGTGGTGCACGCCTTTAATCCAACTTGGGAGGCAGAGGCAGGCGGATCTCTCAGTTTGAGGCCAGCCTGGTCTACAGAGTGAGTTTCAAGACAGGCTCCAACGCTACAGAGAAACAAGCCCCCCCTCCATAAAAAGATGAATAATAGCTTCATAAATATCTCTTTAGACCCTTCCTTGTTGTTTTGTATGGACTAGATACTTTAAAGTATTGATTGGGTTAGTTGGCTGGGAAATGTTTTAGAAGTAGTGCTAGTTGGGGCATATATACATGTGTGTGTGTGTGTGAGAGAGAGAGAGAGAGAGAGAGAGAGAGAGAGAGAGAGAGAGAGAGAGAGAGAGAGAGAGAGAGAGAGAGAGAGAGAGAGAGAGAGAGACCCTTCTTCCAGCCCTTCTACCCACTGTGACTTAAGTGGTAATATAGTTCTTTATTTAGCTCATCACTTCTGGTCAGTGATCACCCTAAATGCAGTGGCATTTAGACCTAAATGTATTTTGAATGTACAGTGTTGGATAAATCTACATGACATTTTTGTGTCTTGGTGTTTGTATTGATAATTTGAAAATGATAGTAGTAGTGATCTCTGGAGCTAGATAGATGGCTTATCAGTTAAGAACGCTTGTTGTTCTTGCAGAGGACCCAGGTTCTGTTCCCAGTACCCACTTGGTTGCTAACCACCTTCTGTAACTCCACTTTTAGGCGGCTTGATGCCCTCTTCCAGCCTCTGCACAGAGAAAACACCCATATACATAAAAATAAGTTTTTAATTTAAAAAGTGTTACCTACCTTATCAGGTTGCCTCTGATGAGTGAATTAATCCTCATTAAACATTTAGACCATCAATAACCATATCAGAACTGGTTATTGATCATTTGCAACCATGGGTTTTCTATGGTTACAGAATTAATGAAAGCATTCTGCATGTTCTCATTGACTTTGTGGAATTAACAGTAGAACAAATCACAGGTATTATTACATGTCTATTGTGTATCTCACATTTTTGTGCTAGTAAAATTTGTAGTAATTTGGGTAGTGACAACCACAGTATTTTGTTATTTTTAAATAGTCATTGCTGGGTAACACTGCTGTCACTTTTGTCTCTCAGACTTATGGATGAATTTCTAGCATATGGATGGTGTCTGGATTTAGCTTGTAACAGATGCTGTTGGTATCATACGCAGATCTCCTTTACTGGGCCAGTGCATCCATCTCCCAGCTGCTGTGGCATTGCCCGCTAATGATGCACACCTGTACCCTTCTCCAGAGGACCACTCTTGGCTGACAGCAACTGCTCCAGCCACATATAAGTCTGAGATTTAGTCCCAGTCCCTTCCAGGTACCCAGGGTTGGCTCGCAGCCAATAACTATATGGAGATATTCTGGCCTCTGAACTGGATATCTTATGTGATTCAGTTCAGGCTAAGAATTCATTGGAGGATCAAGCTGGAGTGAGATATCTGAAGTCAGATCTTTACCAAGTTTCTTCCCCCATCTAGCTGACTCATTTCACCCCTGATTTCTTTCTCTTGGCAGCATTGTTCCTATAGTCACATGTGCTAGAAGGGCCATTTCAGGCTGTGCTGTTAGGGAACCTCACCTCAGATGTGGGTAATCTCAGTTACTGTGCTATTTTATTGGTACCCCTCACTTACACAATGAATTTCACATCTCAGATAATCTAGGGTTTAAATCTCCTTGCTCTTTGTTTTTTGTTTTTTGTTTCAATCCTTTCTAATGTATATCAACACTGGTCATATCCCTCCTGTTTACTTATTTAACCATTTGTCATCAAATGCCCTTGATGCTTATATGTCCCTGGGTTCATCAGTATCTTGTAATGATGACTTATCCTATGTTTTAGTGCTTAATAGATGTTAGCTACCTTCTCACATGTATTTTTAATTTCTGTGCCTTGCTCTAAATGAGCACCTTAATATTGCCGGTACTGTTACTAGAGCCTCTAGAGTTCCTATTTCTCATGGAAAATAGCAGCTGCTCAGTTTTACCAATGATGGGTTGGCTTGACAGGGAAAGCAGAGGCCAGACTGTCTTCTACTTCAGAATACCCTCACCCTGGTGGGAGCTGCTAATATGATATCGTTGAATACAGAGTTGGGAAAAAATATGCATACGCAGCTCTTTCGAATCTATCCTGCATTGTTTAGGTCCCTTATATGTAACAAGTATGTCATACATGGAAGCTAACTGTTCAATGCATTACTAAAACATAGTTATCAATTGGTTAGGATTGGATGATATGCCACAGACTAGTAAATAACTTATCTAATTCTTGTTATATAACTAACTACATCTCTTTTGTTCACTACGGATATATACACAGAGAAGCCCATCATATTCACAAAACAAAGAAATAAAAGGAGTCACTGTGTAATGGGAGTTGCCTATGCCCTTAATGGGCAAACTGTCTACTAACACAATTCAACGAGAAATACCAAGAGTGACAAGACTTGTCTTCTCAAGAGTCTCTTCTTAGCACCTTGTCTCATCGATACCAATAGTGCACTTAATTGCTTTTTCTTTCTCCTCATGAGTAGTAAACCCAAGTGGATTTACACATATATAGAAAGCCAAGATTTTAGTGGTTCACAAATTTCAGTATTTTGACATAAAAAGTTATTATGCTAATAACTCTCTATGTGGAGTTAAACAAGACTGCTCAGTTCTGTCTCAGTCCAATTTCTGTTGCTACAACAAAATACAGACTGGGCAATTTCTAACGAAAAGAAATTTAGTGTAGGTCTGGAGGCAGGGAAGTCCCAGGTTGAAGCTTTGCATCTGGTGAGGGTCGCACTGTGCCTTGATGTGGCAGCAGACGTCAGTGGTCAGAGAAACTGAACAACAAAGTGTGGCTGTCTGTTCTTCCTGTCATAAAGCTATGTCCCATAATGGGGCTTTTCCTTGTATCTCTAGCCTGATTACCTCCAAGTAGCATCAACAGAAAATTAAAGGCCTACATTTCCATCATGTGAACACTTGGGGAGTATTTCTTGCATAGCATTATTCTATTAAAAACTACCACCAAACTTACAGAAATGGGATAGTAAGATGCTGTGTAAATGTGTAGGTCCCATTGCTCTCTGAGTTTGGTTGTCACTCTGTTGGTGGAGAGTGTAGTTCATTTAGGGCTGACAACGTCTAAAAAGATTCTTTTGACTTTAATAAAAGAGGTGTTATCCTGGTTGATTCTCACTTACTTTGCTAGAAAAACATGAAGAACAATTGAAATGTCTGTGTTCTGCTTCACAGCTGTATCTACCTATCAGTATGATGTCTTTGCCAACATGTTTGTGACTTTTAGATTCCTAGTTTACTCTGTACCAGACTTTAACACTCACTTTTGAAAAGATACATTGTTTTCCAGTAGGAATTGCTATTGGGGCATTTTTAAGTGGATGATAACTATTTAAAATAGAAATTTGTTTCCTTTGACAGGAGCTGATAACATCCGGAAATACTGGAGCCGCTACTACCAAGGATCTCAAGGAGTAATATTCGTCTTAGACAGTGCCTCTTCAGAGGACGATTTAGAAACGGCTAGAAATGAGCTTCACTCAGCTCTTCAACACCCACAGTTATGCACTTTACCCTTTTTAATATTGGCCAATCATCAAGACAAGCCGGCAGCTCGCTCAGTACAAGAGGTACGCATGTCTCATTAGTGTTATACTTCCTTCTGCTTGGTTTGTTTGGTCGTTTGTTGAAATGATGCCGCCATGTTGGAATCAAAGAAGACACATAATTATGGACTTGAGGGACATGTGTTTTTACGTGAAATCGTCATTATCATGGGATACAGAATTCTCATTATCGTATTTATATACCTAACCTTGCTTGAAAACCACAAATTCTTTTTTAACCAGAAGACATGCCTGGGTATTTTCTTTTTTATTTTGAAGAGGCAAAGGCCTAGTTAATAACATTTTAATTTCACTCTCTAACTTGATACCTTCTCCGCCACCATTGTCCCTTTAACCAGACATTACATGGTCTCAAATATCAGGTTCTTGCCCCTCTGAAATACTTGCTGTTGGTTGAAAAACCAGTGTCTTTGTCTTGCAAATTCCGTACCACCAAATTAAATATATTTTAATAAGGCTCTACTCTTCCCTTTCCTCACCTAATTGCATTTCTTATCTTGTTTCTTTCCTTTGAAAGTGTGAGCTATTCTGGGCAAACATTATCACTATGAGCCAACTTTGTCGTTTCTAGTACTAATGGAATTGAACCTCCTGTTGTATTCCTTTGCACCTGTACTTTACAGGGTGTATTTTCTCCTCTCCCTCAGAAAATTGTAATGATTGATAGGAATGAATGATGTTAGCCTTCAATCTGAGAAAGTAGATAAGGAAGCAAGAGCATAGTGTGATCTCACTCCAACCTTTCCTCAATTTAGTGTGGACCCATAGCTAATACTTTGTTCTTGTGTCTGGCTTCTCAACAAATTGTTCTAAGTGCACAGGATTAATTAGGGTGATTTATTTTAATTTTACAGTATCAAATGGAGGAGGGCCTATGTATGAATAGTTTTATTTGCTTACAAAAAAAAACAGTGAAACACAGCGATTCATTACTCAGCCTCCTTCAGCATTCAAGACTTACTACTTTGTCACTTTATATGTACTGGAAAATATATTTGATAGTAAGTAAAAAAAAATAACATCCAGGTAGTGATGGCACACGACTTTAATCCCAGAACTCAGAAGTCAGAGGCAGGTAGATCTCTGAGTTTAAAGTCAGCCTGGTCTATAGAATGAGTTCCAAGACAGCCAGGGCTATGCAGAGAAACCCTGTCTCAAAAAACGAACGGGACACACACACACACACACACACACACACACACACACACACACACACACACACACACACACACACACGATGGAGGGGGATGGACAAGACTGGACAGACAAAGACAGACATACACATACAGAGAGAGAGAGAGAGAGAGAGAGAGAGAGAGAGAGAGAGAGAGAGAGAGAGAGAGAGAGAGAGAGAGACGTAGATTGTCACCATGCAGATATCCTGCACTGCACTGAGATTCTGGTGCCTCCTGGGCTTGCTCGTAGCACTCTGGTCCATGCGTTAGTCGTGAGGCTTTCTATCTGTAGAAGGAGTATACACGAATGCAGTGATGACTTGTTACCAGCGCTACATTTGTTTGAGCTATGAGGTGCTTTACTCAAAGAATGTCATTCTCACAGATGATATGGAAGCTAAGTGTTATTATACAATACAGATAGATGATGTCGTTATGTACATGTAAAAGATATGTATGATATGCTAGAATAATGTAGAGATAGATATAAGTACCATCCAAACCTTGAATCACTTGAATTGAGTTAGATGTAGCTGACAGTAACTTTTCTTTAGACTTTTAAAGAAACTTTTTCTTAGACCTCAGATAACCAAGACAAAAATGTTTTTTAAGGATTTATTTTTATTATTTTCAGCTATGGGGCAGAGGGTATGTGAATGTGGGTGCAAATGACCTTGGAGGCTACAGGCATCAGATTCCCTGGGAACCGAACTTGCATCCTCTAGGAGAGTGGTACATGCTCTTAACTACTGGACCATCTCTCCAGCCCCAACAGATACATTCTTTAAACTGAATACGTGACCCACGGCAGCCCTCTCTAGGAGTCAGAGACTCACAATGAATGAAAGAAGCTTCTAGCAATTGATTGCTTCTGAGTAGTCCTTGTGTCTATTAACTGGCTATTTCATCCTTTAAAAAAAAAGCAGAATATTCCTTTGTGATTCAGTAACTGATGTCTGTACATGTGGAATAGCCATAAGTATTATTTGGACACAATCCCAAATTTGTGCATACTAGACTTCATGAGAACTTCATTTTCCTTCCCAGTTGTATCAACTTTAAATTACTTTTCCTGGAATGTTTTACTTGTGAATACAATTTATACAATACCAGTTTGAAGATGTTTTTAGGTAAAGCGCTTTGCCTTGTCGTATCAATATATACCATACAGGTGCATGTTAACAGCATTTACTAGTATTTTCTGGGGAAGGGGGAAATTCCAGGGTAGACCTCAAAGTTTGCATTAGCACAATGAAGTGCTTGCTCACCCTGGTTTCGGTTTGACTGAGAAAAGGGGAGCATCCCATCTTTCTCTTGATGACAAAGAGGCTACTCTATATCGTGTGTTTATATAATGCCCGGTTGAAAGAGTCTCAGGAACGTCTTAAGAATTAAATCAATACCTTATTGTTCACATAAAAACGGAGTTGTGAAACTGAATCTTCCATGTTGAATAAACAATACCCTCAAACTGGTTGGGAACAGCAGGCCTGGGTAGGAAATTAGAAGGCAAACAGAGTCCCATGTTACTTGAACTATGTTTTAGTCATATATTTAGATATAGTTTTAGATATGGTCATCTTTTTGCTAGTCTTCCTTTGGTTAAGACACCGTGTGCCCTGTGTCTTCCAGCTTTACAAATGTTTTGCCTGTCTATGCCTATTAGTTTATGTGTAAGTTGGGATGCTTTTAAGTGTTAAAAAAGATGGTATTTTACCTTGCAAAGTATCTGTGACTTTTAAGGGAGAATTTCTACTCAAAAATCAAGGAAGATTCCTTCAGTTTAACAGGAAACACTAACAATGTGACACAGTTAAGAAAAAGCAGTGTGCACTTAGGCTTGGCGATTCCTATCTTCCTGAAAACTATTGTATTTTATGTTTTCTGTGGGAAATGTGCCAGGATTTGTCCTGTCACTTGAGTAAAATTTAAGAATTTGCTTGTTTGTTAAGATAGCTGTTAACTCAAAAGTGGATGGAAGCCAGTGATACTTGGAGGAGAAAGGTGACTGGTCGCTTGAACTCCAACGAGATAATAATCATCAGGAAGTTAAATATTTTAGTCTTATATGTGCACGTTGCTGTCTGTATGGAGCACAGAATTAAGAAAGGAAGACAATGGTTAAAATTGCTCCATAACCCACAAGTGGGCAGCGTGCCCAGCTATCTGCTGACCTTTGAGAAACAAGTGGGATCTTGTAGGTAGCATATCTTCCCTTCCTCAAGTATACCTACCTGGTCGTGATTTGACCAACTCACCAGAATTTTAAGGTTTTGTATCTTGAGAATTGCTAGTAGAAGCATACATTGTTTTTTAACAAAGTAAGACAAAAACACCATAAGAAAATACTGGGTGAAAGAACACCCTATGAGCTGTTGGAAAGGCCAAGCAATTCTTATACCAGATGTTTGTTGTGTTCACTCTAGGGAGATGTGGTTACTGCAGTTTTCCAGGATATATTCATATCATCTCTTTTTCTCTATGGAAAACATACTAGAAAAAGCTATGCTTATGCCAAGTGGCCCACTTGATAGATTAGGAGAAAATCTGGTCTAATTTAAATGGTAAAGCTATAAAATGAGAACTCTTCAGAGTAAATAGTTTGGCTTTTTATTTGTATTGAATTGTAATTGTATCTAATTTGTTTTACAACTCCCTTTGGAGAGCATACTTCAGTTCTGAAGTTACTAAGTAGATCAGGAGTATTTTATGAGAAGTTAAGTTGATATAATACCCAATAAATGTAATCCTATTTTCCCTCTACACAGTTTCTGACTGCCATTCTTTTACTTCCTGGCTTTTTAAATCTTATTTTCGTTTTTATTGGCTTTACCAGGCCATATAAAATGACCCATTTTGTTAACATGGAACTAACAGTCCTTATTTTTAGCAATTTGATTTGACTTGATGTTTATAGGTTATCCTTATTTCAAAAGTACCTAACTTTTTCAGAAATGCTACATTAAAAATGCATTATTGATTATTTTTATAATTGCAAATATTAATTGAAAAATACAAACACTATGAAACAGGTTTTTGAAGCAGAATTTATAAGGCCCAGTGACTTGATTAGTTTCATGCTTCATTAATTATAGCTTGGAAAAATCCAGGTTCTAAATTAGAGTGTCAATATTACATTTAAAAATTGTGATTACATTGTCTACTAATTTTGATGCAGTGTTATATTTGAAAATAATAGAGTAGGAATGTGAGAGGAGTCTTTACAACTACTTTTGTAAATACCAACTTGGGAATACATGCATTCAGAGTTTCTCAACTCTGTAGGGTTTTCACTTTATAGACAGTATTTGTCTTCTGGAAGAAGGATATGTGTGTTTTACGGTACTTAACCATCACTCTTAATTGTAATTCCAGTTTATATAGTCATGTCATGTCCATTTTTCCCTTTCTTTAATATATGTCAACAAATAATGCACCTCTAGTTTGCATTTTTTATTTAGTCTTGTTATTTCTCAACTATAGGCTTGTCTCGAAATGAGGACAAATCTTTTATTAGAAAATGCCCAGCACTGTGAAATTTACATAAAGCACCTAGTGTGACGGAATGTCATTTTCTGTGTATGGAGGAAAATGTTTTCATTGGGAAGTGTACTATATTTAAAGTCTACAGAGTTCTCCATGTATCTTGACCTGCCTCTTGGCAGCATTTTAGAATGCTTATTTGATTTCACATACAGCAGTGTACATACCTATGGTGTGAGCAGTTTGGAAACTCCCTTATGGGACATATACTTACTCTAAAATGATATAAGAGATAGAGATAATTTTGTCCATTCCTTACAGATGTACTCCACACTGTTACAATTA